CAGGTCACACGGGGCTGTTCGATAATTTATTTAAAGCAAGTAAGCTCAGATTTTCACGTCTGGAGCAACAAGGAATGTCTGCACCAAGAAACGCCATCATCACAAAGATCGGGGGAGAGAGCAGAAACCACCTGTCGCCTCTGGTGAAACACAGGAAGCGGCAGCACTGATGCTGCCCCTTGGGGGTCTAAGAAACAGGCGCCCGGGCGAGGGCAGGGCTGCCTCTCCAGGGCTGACATGGGGATGGAGGACGCAGGTCAGGAAGAGTGGTCCAGCCTAACAAACATTCATCCAGATGAACACTGATCTCAGCTTGAGGCCACTTAACCCCATCTGCAGGTTCACCCTGTGTCCAGCCGGGGACCAGTCCCGCGTAGGGAGATTTAGGAGCTCCAGCCTGCCTGGACTGCCAGCACTGAGGGGTCTCGCAGGTTCTCTGCTTCCCTGCTCCAGCATTCCTGCCCTCACCCCTGCGGCCGAGGGCCTCTTTACACTGCAGGGTCAGTGACCAAGCTCTGGTCTCTTCGTGTCTCAATTTCTGCTCCGAGTCCCTGCCAGGGAGGGAGCGGAGCAAAGAAGTCTCAGAAACAGATTTTGCAATTAGACAAAACTGACTTAGATTCAAATTATGTTACCCTCCTCCCTGCTGACCTTGGGAAAATTTCTTAATCTCTCTAAATGCAGTTTCTTTTTCTACAAAATGTGCACCTACGCCCTCACATCACTGTCAGGATTAAGCGAAGTGAGGACCCCAGCATGTGACGCCACGTAACGCTCGTCAGTCCACGTGCCCTCACGCTCCTCAGCCACCGGCGCCCCGCCTGCCTCTGCACCCCCTCTAATCCTGCCCGCTCAACAAGGCCTGCACAGCCCCACCCTGCCGCTCAGCCTCCTATGCTGACCACACACCTGGACTCCACTTGCCTTCTGGAAGCGCCCGCCACCGAAACCCAGACGCTGTCCTCTCTGCACCACAACCTGACGCCAGCGTGGGCGCCTGAGGCCGCACCACCTGGGCTCACAGCCCTGCCGTTCACTTGTCAGGAAATGCGACTTGGGTCAAGCTATGGAACCTCTCTGTGCCTCAATCGCCCCATCTGTGAAACAGAGGCAATGGCAGTGCCTACCTCATACGACTGTGAGGTGGATCCCTGTGTCTGCAGGGGCCTGGGAGCCATGTCCAGCACATGGCAAGCAGGCACTTTTTACATCTTTGACTCCCTGTGAGAGTGTTTCGTCCAGATCACTTGGTTAGCTGCCTGCGCTAGCCCATGTCATCAGATGAGCAAGCATCCCCGCTACCCTCTGACACCAAGGGAGATGAAGCAGGCTCTTAGAGTGAAGCCTTTCTGGTGCCAGTGTGGTCCACAGGCCAGCATCAGCATCACGTGGGAGATCATTCGAAATGCAGCCTCTCAGGCACCCCCAGCCCGACTCAAATGGAATCTGCATATTAACACATTTTGAATGCACAAGTCCTCTGTCACCTGGGGTTCCTGTTATAACACAGATGGGGGGTGGGGGACCTGAAACTCTGCCATCGTAGGACCCCGCTTGGAGTGCCAGGTGTGAAAAGACAGCACCGAACTCCAAAGAGGAATTGCACCAGGATGTGAGACAATGACTGCCTTGGCACCTGCAGGTGGAAAATGAGGGAGACGGGCGTGACCGATGACTTGGAAGAGTCCATAGCTAAGAAGTCAAATGGCGCAGGGAGCTCCCTGGTAAGTCCTTAGAGGGTAGGGACCATGTCTTACTCATCCTGGTTTTCTCAACAGAGAACGCCTGGCACAGAGGAGGCAGGTCACTGTAACCATCTATCTCCGTCTCAATAAAACCAGAATAGCACTTGTTAGCTTTACAAAAACACAACTGTTTTATAGCTATATTAGCAGTCCCTCCCCACCCTACTCTAATATTTGCCTCTACATTTCCTATATGAAGATGACACAACCTATCATTAATCAAAGGGAACCATTTCTAAACTTTTTCTCTTAGAAATGATGCTGGCTTTGAAAACCCGCGACGCGGGGGGTGAAGGTGGGGTGGGGGTAGGAGGAGGGGCCGGCAGAACATCCTACACAAAACAGGGGCTACATTTTTAAAGAGCATTTGCTGGTACCTTGCTGACTCTTTCATTTTAAACATCCAGCATGTTGAAAACTAAGTGAAGGCAGAAGAGGGAGTGCCCTGTTGCTATAACCCTTGACCTTTTCTTAGTGACACACGAAACTAATCAGCCCCTGGAGGTCAACAACCAGGGACTAGTTAGAGGGAAGGAGACAGGGAAAGCAAACGAGAGTAGAGATTAGAAAAATCACACCAACTGACCCAAGAGTCCCTTGAAGTCCCTCCTTCCTGGGGAGCACAGCCCTCATTTTCCAAGACAGTAGCAAATGACCAGATGCCCTTGCTTTTGATCTCAGCAATCTGTCCCCTTGTCCAACAGGGCCCTCGCCCTACCGCCCACCTCCACACACACCTGTCACCAAGGTAACTGACTAAGGGGAGAAATCTACACAAATGTGAGAAGAAAGCTATCTTCCCAGTCCGATGCCCACAGCTAGCATGAAATTACCTAAATGTGAAAGCACGTCAATCCCAAATGTGCCTCTCTTTGAAAAAACAAAGGAAGATCACTGGCAGATGTCCCTAAGAGAATCTCCTTTACGTCACTCTGAATCAGCAGCTACGTATGAACACAGAGTAACATTTTTACACGCTTATACTACATACACCTACATGTACAAACACACAGGTGTACGTTTCTCTGCTCTGCCTGTATCCGAAACGGCCTTGGGGTGGGTAAGGCAGCCCTTGTCCTCAGCTACTGATGTAAGCCAACCACTTTCTGCCCTTAGGTGAGGTCTCTACGCAATTCCATGGATCATATACACCCTTTCTGCTTCAACTACTGATGGAGCTCTCACAGAAAAACAGAATACAAAACAACGACAAAGTTTCAAAATTTTACATCTAAACATTCATTTCTAAAATGAAATCAAAGCAGGGAGAACTCTTGTTTCCCCAAACCTCATCTCTAAACTTTCACAAACTTTCAACCAAATAATCTTAAAGCCACAGTCACACAGGGAGGATGATGCCAGCCCTGTCACTGACTTTTTAAAGAAACTCCGAGGGCCCAGGAGGAGCTGAGGCAAAGCATCCCTCTAAACAGGGGAACCCTCGGAGGGCCTACGTGGTGTAGCCAAACACACAGCCACGTTTCCCAAAGTAATGCCACGCTGAGTGTTAAAATGCACAGGGGTGGTGAGGCTCTGGACGAGAAGACTTCGGGAACTACAGAAGCGTCAGCTTGAACCCATCACAGTCTTCAGTTTACAGAATGAAACTGCCCTCGGAACGCAGAGTGACCGGGAGCCGGCAGTGAAATCTAGGCGAGCGGATCCCTGTCCTTCCTCCAAGTTCCTGAACTCAAGTCTCCGCAGAGTAAGCGAGACCCGTCCCCTACAGACACCAGCGCTAAGTCGCATGAATAAAGAGACATACTCCATAAGGGCGTGAAAATCATCTTCCAACACAAATAAACAAAACAGAAGACAGTCCCTGTGTGTGTGAGGAATATTTTCCAGCAATCCCTGCTAATAAGGACACCCTGAGAAAAGGCATTTCTGTATCTTTTGTGATGAGAAAACTCTTAATTACAGCCCAAAGAACAAGGTACTCAAGAGGAATTAGACCAATGATCCCATACCTTGACCATACATTTAGAATCATCTGTGAAGCTTTTTAAAAATCCCAGTGGCCAAGGCACACACCAGGCCAGTGACATGGGAATCTCTGGAGGTGGCCTGCAGTGCACGGCCAAAGTTGGGAACCACAGAATTAGGGATTATTCTAAAGATACCGTCCAGAGCAGAGTCAATCTGAGCATGACTGTGGGCCCTTGATACGCTGGGACCTTTGTCTAAATCTCACACCCAGCTATGACGGTGGATGGTACAAGCCACTCACCCTCTAGCTTAGGAGGGGCTCGGGGCCATGCACACACAGCCCTCCCCTTAAAATGCAGCACAGACAAGGTCGCCCATCCAGAGGGCCTGCCGGGATGAGCAGGGTCCAGGAGACCCTCGGTCTGTATCTGCAGGGGGCACCTCCCTGGCAGCAATGTGAGGGGCTCCGGAGATGGGCTGGGACATGAGCTGACACACAGGCCCAGCTGAGCCAGTGTCCCCCGGGGAGCACGCTCTTTGCAGGATGCCACAAAGCACCTCATGACCCCTCTGTGAGGGAGAATGCAAACCCTCTTAGCAAAATACACACGAGAATTAAAGAAATGGGCACATTTTCTTGCTCTTGCTCCTCTACTGATAAATATGGAAAATTCACTTTATCTGAATTTTTTAAAAAGTCCTCAGTGTTTACCATTGATACTCTCCAGGTTTCCCCCCATTTAAGCTCGGCTTAGATAGTTCTGTTTGGTTTTATTTGAAAGCAAACTTCTGGCAGAGGTACGTAGAGCAGAGATATATACAAAACTCCAGCAGAATCAATTCGTATTTATTCAAAGCATTTAAAAGCAAAATTTGACCCAAGAACTCAAATAAAAAGAAAATCAAACATATTGCATACATCTTGAAAGATATTTTAAATAACAGAACATTTTAAAGCGTAAATGTAGAAAGGCAGGGGAAAGACATACAGAGATATTCAACATATAATATCTTTCTACAGAATGTGGATTTTTTTAAAGTGCACTTTTGTCCAAAAAAAAAAAAAAGGAAAAAGAAACACCAACCCCTGAATCTAATATGCTTACCAAAATGAACTGTGAAGGCAGGTGGCCCGGGCTTGAACCCACACGCGGGGCCCTGGACCACGTCTCCGAGCCTCTGTGCCTCCTCTTATCTTTACATCAGAGGCTCTGGAGTCGGACTGCTGGGCTCAGATTCGGGTCTGCACATGAGCTGTGTGAGTGCATGTAACCTCCCCGCCCCTCTCTCCCTCCTCTGTGACACTGAAACAAGAACAGGACCTACCTCCAATCTGCAGAAACTGGAACCTCGTGCACAGCTGATGGGAATGCAAAATGGTGCAGCTGCTGTAGAAAACAGTCTGGCAGTTCCTAAAAATATTTAACATAGAATTACCATAAGATCCAGCGATTCCACTTCTGGGACTCTACCCCAAAGAGCTGTGAGTAGACACTGGAACAGATATTTGCACACCCATGTTCACAGCAGCATATTCACAACAGCCAAAAGGTGGAAGCAGCCCAAGTGTCCATCAACAGAACAACGGATAAAATGTCATACATACATACAATGAAACATTATTCAGCCTTAAAAAGGAAGGAAATTCCGACACAGGCTTCAACATGGATGAACCTTGAAGATAACTATACCAAGTGAAATAAGCCAGTTATATAAAGACAAAATATTCTATGATTTCACGTATATGAGGTACTTAGAGCAGTCAAACTCATAGAAACCGAAAGAATGATGGTTACCAGGGGCTGCGGGGAGGGGGATGGGGAAATAGTGTTTAATGGGTACAGAGTTTCAGTTTGGGAAAATGAAAAAGTTCTGAGATGGAGGCAGGTGATGGTTCACCCAACAATGTGAATGTACTTAATGTCAGTGAACTGTATACTTAAAAAGATTCAGATAGTAATTTTTATGTTTTCTATATTTTACCACAATAAAAGAATAAAAGTAAATAAGAAAGCCTAGTCCCTATACCTCCTAGAGTTGCTGTAAGGACTGGATATGTGTGAAGTGTTTAGAGAGTACCTGGCAGGGAAGCCCTCCGTAAACACTAGCTACAGCTACTCTCTTATTGTCCTACCTTTGGAGCTCCCTCCAGGCCCCACCACCATGTTCTGCAGAAACAGATGCTCACTGACTAGATTCTGATCCGCCGCCTGGAGCTGTACAGCTTCTGCAGTGAGACAGTTCCAGCCCCGGGCTTCCTTCCAGCATAAATGCTCTATTATTGGGACAAAACTTCCACTGCAATCAGATAATGAAGAGAAGACCACAACTAAAAAAAAAAACAACTGATTTCATCATCCATTTCCTAAATGGTTTGTTAATAATCTTGCCTCAAAGATAGGTTCATAGGCTAATGCTATCATATAAGTCTGACAGTGGGGAAGAAAGGAAAAATGTTCCCTACTATTCATAAATATTCTTTCACCTTTTATCACAATCCAGACTATTCTACTTCTTTGCTTCGTCATTTAAAAGTCCTTCTATTATGAAAATTTCCAAGCATATACAAAAGCAGAGACCCGACTAGCCCTCATGTACCCAGCTTAAGAGCCAACTTCAACCTCTCTGACCCTACCTACTCGACATTCTCGCCACCAAAAAACTAGAATAAAAACACCAGGGCAGGGCTTCCCTGGTGGCGCAGTGGTTGAGAGTCCGCCTGCCAATGCAGGGGACGCAGGTTCGTGCCCCGGTCCGGGAAGATCCCACATGCCGCGGAGCGGCTGGACCCGTGAGCCATGGCCGCTGAGCCTGCGCATCCGGAGCCTGTGCTCCGCAACGGGAGAGGCCACAGCAGTGAGAGGCCCACGTACCGCAAAAAAAAAAAACACACCAGGGCAGCTACATTGAAGCAATGTTCTTTTCTAACAATCATCATCACCACCGCTATTTTACTTTTAGAAGTTCTTTTTGGACATCTTCTCACCTGCTCTCCTTTTTTTCTTTGAAACTACAAATAATTTCCATACCTACTATGCCAAGGTTATTGTGAGGATGTAATACACATGAAAATGCAGAGCTTGGTGTCTGAAGTGTATGAAGTTCTGGAGAAATCTTAGTTCTCCACGGACCACCACCCCACCCTTCTCTCCAAGACAACAGATACCAACCACCGCCACCCCTCTCACACATACCCTTCTCCATTAAAGAATGTCCTTGCTTGTCCCTCACTCCTCCCTTCCCTTCCCAAACAATGGTCCTTGCTTCCCTCCTGTCCCCTCGGCCTGCTTCGAAGCCAGGGATCCCAAACACAAATGTCTGATCACAAATCCAATCACCTAGAAGACCCCAAATATAAAGACAAATACAGAAAGTGGATAAACTGCACTGATCAGTATATTTAACATTCAGGGTGCCAGCCACTAAACTAAAAATTAAAAACATCCCCAATCTAGTGCCTGCATATGATTTAACAGAAAAACCAGGCTAGACACTCATGGTAAAAACAGCACAAACAGGGATTCCAATGCAGGTCGTGTGTATGTGTGTGTATTTATATTTTAAACATTAAACCCTTTTTTGATGATCCAAGAAATTTTATCTGCTGATGAGATTCATTTCCTTGCAGTACTTTTTGCCAGTGGCAAACCTGCCACATCTAATTTGTTTTAAAAGGAATTCTAATCACCCAATCAATCATACTCTCGACCTTCAGCCTCACAGTCACTTCGCTATGGTCAAAACTGGCTCCAAAAACTCATGTTGTAACAGTTCTGTTGTCCTCAAGCTCCAAAACGCCAATGACAGGAATATAATTGGACCAAACCCTCTGGTAGAAGAAAAAACAGTACCTGAAGTTTCTAATTCGTCTTCTACCAAGATTCTTTAAATAAAAGTGAATGTCTAAGATATTATTAAGGAATAACTTTTCCTCTACTGGGGTTTAAAGACTTATAAATCATCCAAGTGTCTATGCAGTGAATCTGGTCTCTTCATTACAAAAAAATCACACATCTCACTTTTGCTTTTAAACAACTTTTCTTATTGCAGAGATATAAGGACCAAGTAATAACCCTTCCAACGCTCCGCCCTCCCCTCCTGGCACACGTTCAATCTCAAGCGCGCTGGCATACATCGTTCTGGCTTGGAAAGGCGTCCTCATTTGCTGCCTGCCCTTCCTGTCCCATCCTCCCTCCTGGCTACCTGGCTTCTCGGGGCCTGGCACACAGCAGGTACTCAATACGTGATGCTGCCGGGATCATTAAGAAAACTTTAGGGGTAACAGAGACAGAAGCAGCCACATCAAGTAGAGAAGCTGACCCGGGGTGGGGAGAAGAATGCGGTTATTTTAGACACACTGTTTGAGGGGCGGGCGGGACATGCAGATGGACACATTCAGTGATGTCCACCTCGGCGATGATGTCACACGGGGATGAAGCAGGTCAAGGAGGGAGGCCCTCTGCGGAAAGACTCCATCCGCGAGCAGAGAGCTCAGCTCTGAGCATCACCGAAGCTAAGGAAGAACCGCATTTCAAGGTGACTGAAAACACTGGTTGGGGTGTGAAACACCACAGCTAAACTGAAGAGGATTAAAGGCCGTAAATGAGGGGATGGGGTAACTTAGTCACTAGAAAGTTCTCCATCTTTGAGAAGCCGTTTCAGTGACGGATAAGATACATACTTACAACTACCCGCAGGAACCCCAAATAAAATGTAGACAAACAGAAACCACTAAGGGGGCACTACACCAAGGCCCTGGCGGGGGCGTGGCCACCATGCACAGCACAAAGATAAATGAAGGCAGGAGATCCAGCCCTCTAATTGACCCCGTGATCAAAGGAGAAAAAGCAAACAATCGGCCCCCAGACGCTTGACAAAACAGAACATTCACTCCTCATTAAGACAAACTCTTAATAAGATAGGAATAGATGACTATTGCCTGAATATGATCCCAATATATCCACCAAAACTCCAGAATCATGATCTGAGAAACCACTATAGGCATTCCATGGAAGTCCAACTTCTGAATAGAGAAATGGGAATCAGCGAGTGACAGAAGGTTCCCCCAAATGGAATTAGAAATGCCTCTGGAAGGTATGAAAAGATGTTCAATCTCAAAGAAATGCAAATTAAAATGACAATTAGGTTTTAAAATATCTACAGATGGGGGAAGATCATGTTCTTTGATATCACAGTATTATGAGGGTCTAAGAAACAGGCATTGCTGGTAAAACTTCTATGGAAGGCAGTTTGACAATATCTATCAACATTTAAAATACACACATTTAATTCAGCAATCCCACCTGTAGTGAATTAAATTTATAGATATACTTCTTTTTTTTTTCCTGCGGTACATGGGCCTCTCCCGTTGCAGCCTCTCCCATTGCGGAGCACAGGCTCCGGACGCGCAGGCTCAGCGGCCATGGCTCACAGGCCCAGCCACTCCGCGGCATGTGGGATCCTCCCGGACCGGGGCATGAACCCGCGTCCCCTGAATCGGCAGGCGGACTCTCAACCACTGCGCCACCAGGGAAGCCCTAGATATACTTCTTATATGTGTGCAAAATGATGCATGAACAAGGATATTCACTGAACAATTTGTAAGAGCCAAAGACAGGAAATACATTTCCATTAATCGGGGACTAGCTAAGTAAATTAAGAATAAGGCAGCACTACATGTATTGACATAGGATATCTCCAAGATATATTATTGTTAAATGATAAAAAAAGAGGTGTTGATTGGCTGTGCATGGTAGCTACCATTTTTCAACAGGAATATAAATGTAGTTTACGCATATACACACGTATATAAGGAAGTGCAGACACGGTAGGAGCTGAGAGACAGAGACAGTTGAGAGGCTACTACTCATTACATGCTTTTATACCTTTCGATTTTATACGATGAGCATTACAACCTAGTGACTTGAGATCACTCTTGGCTTCCCCTTTCCTTCGTTCCCTCCATCCAGCCAATTGGTAGGGCCTGTGAATTCTGTCTTTACAACATCGCTGCCACTTTAGCCCTCCTTTCCACTCTCACCACAAGTGACATAATTTAGAGACCCTCAGTACCTTCCTCCAGGATAATTAAACAGCCTTTAACACCTTCCACTTCAAATAATTACCTCCTCTGATTCACCTTATGTACCATGCCGGATTTACCTTCTAAAGCACACATTTATTAAGCTTCCGAAGGCCCGAATTCTGCTTGGCCCATCCAAGTGCCCCCGCAGACCCCAATTCCCAGGGACCACACCCCACACTTGGGCTGAACAGAACTGCTGCCAGGGACTAGAACTACAGCTGTTTCCTCTCACCCTGAGCCCCAGAGCCCGGCGGTCTCCTCCCTCAGGAATGTTCCACGTGCACCGGCTGAGATGGGCTGTGGCCCCCAGCACCCACCGTGAAGGCC